TCACATCTAAGTCATCAATTTTTATCAAGTAATATAGCATTAACATTCATAAATTAATATAATACTCAAAGGAATTACTAATTTAATATAATTTCAACATAAATAGTAAAACCCCTAATTGTTCCAAAACCTAGCTCACAGGCACTTTTCTACAATTTCGTTCTCTCTCCCAGATCATCAATTCCTCAAACAGAAATCATCCAATTTTTCACAACCTAACTAACAGGTACTTTTCTATAATTTCGTTCTCTCTCCCAAAGCATCATTTTTACATATAAATCATATATTCGTAGTCCTAAATATATACAGAATCAAATAAGACCAATAATTCTCCAAACAGAAATAATTATAAAAATGCTCATAATCCTAAGGGTTCTTCTTCTACCCAATTCTCTTATGTAACTCTACATATAAATAATTCCCTTTTCCCCCGTACCTGGATATGTAGAAGTTGAATCTAGATATGTAGAAGCTGAATCTACACTAGATCTGGTTGATCTCCCTCGCTAGGTTCCCCTCAGTATGAAGCAGAACAGCTTTATTTATAGGCATTCTACGCCGGAACGGCCCGTTCCGGACCCTTAAACCATGGGTAAAAATCACATCCAGAACGGCCCGTTCTGGTGTGCATTAATTACTCACAACGGCCATAAATTTGGGAACACCACGTTCCAAGCCCGTTCCCATTTAGGGTTTAAGGCAAAAGTAATAGTCCGGAACGTCCCGTTCCAACTTGAGAACGGCCCGTTCTGGGCTACTAACTCACACTTTCTCTAGTAGTTTGGAACGGCTCGTTCCAACTCCGGAACAGCCCGTTCTAAGCTACTGAATCACATACCTTTTGGTAGTTTGGAACGGCCTGTTCCAATTCCGGAACAGCCCGTTCCAAGCTACTAAATCACCCCTATCAGCTTTATAAAATTACCAAAATACCCTCAATTAAAATAAAATAAAATTGAAATAAGAAAAATGGGGTGTTACAGTAAGTTTTAATATATTTTCTCTATTAATAATTAAATTAAGTTATTAATAAATAAATTAAGTTTACAAATTTTAAAAAAAATTTAAAATCATATGATACTTCTTTATATAGATTAGAATCAATGTATAAAATATTTTTATAATTATTCATCAATTTGAATTAATGAAACGAAGTATCAAATAATTTTAAAATTTAAAAAAAAATTATAAACATGATCTATTTGTTAATTTTTTTTTAAAATTTAATTATTGAAGTATTGAAATTTAATATAAAAACTGACTTATTAAATGAAATAAATCTACTAAGAATAAGTAAACTCCTTCCTCATATATGGTGCTGTCAAGTGACATCTATATATTTAGCAAAATTTTCCTTTATAAATATGGAATAATTTAATTATTTTTTATTTAAAAATTCGTAAAAATAAAAAATTAGGATTTTGTGACGGATTTTGGAATCCCTCACAATTTGTGACGGATTTTGAATCCCTCACAGTTTGTGACGAATGAGTTCCCTCACAAATTGTGACGACTTCTTAGGCTGTCACAAATTGCGACGGAATTTTACTCAAGTATTAACATTTATTTAAGTAATTTGTGACGAAAAATTTATTAGTTAGTGACGGCATATTTCCGTCACTAATTGTGACGGACTGAATTTTTTCGTCACTAAATATTTTGTGACGCCATTTTTTGTGACGACCCAAAATCCGTCACATTTCCGTCACTAATAATTTTGTGACGGATTTTCTTTAATTTTGTGACGGATTCTTTCCGTCTCTAATTTCCATTTTTCTAGTAGTGATACTAATTTTAATTTGGTTAAATTATAATTTTGGTCCTTTATCTTAGTTTTTTAGATTCATTTTAATCTTTTATCTTTTAAATTGTTCATTTTAGTCTTCTATCTTATAAATTTGGATTTATTTGATCCTTTTGAAATGATTATTTTTAATTTTGAGAGACAATTTTGAATATTTAATTGACAAATTCAAAACTTAAAACTTATCTAATTAGATTCACCTATATGAAAACTATGAAATTCAATTAACATTTGAATAAAAAAAATTATAAACATAGAGAAAATTATGTGAAAAATTATGTTTTATGAGCAATTACAAAATAACATGAAATTAAAGTTTTAGAATTGTTTTCGTCACTTTTTGGATTTATTTATATAGAACTTTCATCATGTTTAAAACACTTTTTTATTTTTTTAAACTTCAAGTGTGTTTAATAATTTTCATATAAG